TGCGCTGTCCACGGACAAGGCGGATGGGACATAACATGGCTGGAGCAACTCACACTTCCGTGTCAACCGAACATTCGCCGACCCACTCGCCGTTCCACTAGCGCCCAGCAGACGAGATGCACATGGTACGCGCAGCCGTGTCCGCATGGAAGTCAAGCAGCGCACCCCATCAGCGGGCCACGGTCCCGCTCGGGTGCTCCCGCGCCGGGACGACCACTCACCGACGTGAACGTGTTGGCAGCGATGACCGGCGGCCGCGCGGCGGCCGACGGGCCTCCGGTGCCGATCTGCTGCTCGAACCTGCCACCGGGGGAGACGGCACGGCACCGAGATCAGCACAGGTCGACACGGCCTTCACGGGCCAACGAGGCAAAAGCCAGTCGAGGTGGTCTCCACGAGTCGGAGTCGTCGCAGGTAAATATGGCTAGCGCAGGTCGAATTGGTACTCGCAAATGGGCATCACTCGGACAGTCTTCGAGCGACAGCAGGCAAGCTCTCCTGACCCAGACTGCATGCTACTCGCCTATAACTATGCAATCAGCAACCGCTCGCGTGCTCAGTACATGTGCACCAGAATAATCTCGAGTAAAATAGTGAGTATGTCCCAGAAAGTAATGCGCATGTTAGCGGAGGCCTCAGCAATAAACATCAAAGGTCAGAACTGAGCGGCACCACAAACCTTTCCTGCCACTCTAGCACTATGACCGATGCAAAACCGTCCGTCAAAAATGAGTTGCGTGACATTACATCAAATACGGGGATCTCCTCGAACTGATGTTGATCAGGGCCTCAACAAAAGTTCATGAGTCATTTGACACGGCATCCGTGGTCTGCAGCACAGGAGTACAGAGCGCGCCGGGTCGGCAGCAGGATGGCCGCTACTGCGATTAGTCGTGCACTGCGGGACGAAGCCAGGCTGGCACTGATTTCTACTGGTTAAACTTCATTACGGGGCTTTATTTACTTCGACGCAACGTCGCTCCTGCTGGAAAGACCTCCAAGCAACAAAGTGCTACACCGCAAAATGCATGCTTCAAAAGCATATGGCGGTCGTCACTCCCACTGCAGAAATTTTTAGTCTTTACTTATAAGCTACATTACTTCTATTGCAAAAACTAATACACGAAAAACGTATGCTGTAAAAACACAACCGTGATCACTTCCACAGCAGAGCCTTATGTTATCTTCACTTATATGCGACTTTACTATTACTGCCAAGAGTTACATGCAAAATTATTGCTGCCGGACAAAGCTTTGACATGAAAAACTTACACTTGTGATTGTGTCTCCAGCACAAACCTATATACTTCCACTTATCAGCGATATTGATTCTACTACCGATACTTTGAGGCAAAATTCGTGCTTTATGATGCTTCTTTGTAAAACGCACCCTTCTGTTATTCTACTCATAGGTTAACTTTCACTAAAAAAACAAAAGCTAAGACACACGACAAAAAAAAAAACGGTGGAAGCGAACACATGGGCGCACTTGAACGGACGAAATCAGATTGGAGATAACATTCCATGGTCTCGATACATAAGTGGTGCCACAAATATTGCGATTTACAGACACGCGAGCGCAATGGAGTTACGTGACATTGCTTACAATTCTACTCAAGAACATTTAGCGCAGTGTCGCGTTGCAAAACAAGTTTGGGACCAAGCAGGAAAAACACGCCAAACCTGCCCCAAAATGCATAAAACAAGACGTGCGCCTCGCATGTGACACACCAGAAGTTGTGAAAACAAATAATTTGCTGTAAAATTAATGACGTGTTTAACTTTCCCCGCATAAGTTTTTGCCGAAATATTGCCGAGTACGTGCCCTTTGTAAAGTATAAGCTTATGCAGTGGAAAATGGGTGTCGATTTCTTTAAGTGATTGGCGGGCCAGATTCGCGGAAGTCAACATAAGGGGACAGGGCAAAAGAAATATCGGATTTTGTGCCTGATGTTCTGGTTATCAGTTAAATATATATATATATATATATATATATATATATATATATATATATACATAGATAAGTCTTTTGGGTTTACTCATCCGTGCACAAGAAGAGAATGTCCAGCGTCCATAATGTATGTGGCTACCATTAACTCATTTATAGGCTGGTTCTCAATGCACCAAAATCTAATCGATAAAAGACAAGCATTTCAGTGAATGTTAATGCTAACGAATTCATGTGAAATACTGTTAATGTTCAGTCAGCGTAAAATTCAAGAATATGGTTTCCAACCTCTCCGCAAATACGCCTAGGCAGATGCCCTAATGAGAATCCCTTTTACCCGCTTTTGCCAATCAACGCGAAATGCAAGCCAGCTATACGTCTGAGGGACGCTGCCCCAAAGTGTTGTGCCTATGGAGGGAAAGCAACCCTGACCGGTTTTACTTTGAGCATATTAAAAATGAAACACCGGTCATATCAATGTCATGTGTAATGCAGGATGATTGTGACACCGTTGCTCGTTGAGCTGGCTTTTCGGTCGCTATGCGCTGATACTTAATTGGGGGTGAGGGGCGGGACACAGCGTTGACCAAGCCCTTCCCTGGGGTAAGGCTTCCATGTGAAAAGAAGTAAAAAAGAAGTCATCGAATATGGCCCACTTCATTTCGATGTGAGCCGTTTTAAAAGCCGTTAAAAGCCGTAAGCCGTAGTGAGTCGTTTTTAAAAGCCAGGAGTCACCAAAAGATACAATGTTGTGTGTATTTTGAAGTCATTAAACGGAGCAAACACGCCGGTGCTATTCATTTTATAATGTTTCGATGGACTCTTTCTAAGCCGATAGCACTCAGGGGCTGCGACGGAATTTTTATGGGATGTATGGTGATACCGTGAACGTCGATCTTAGATTGCAATAAGGTCGTAAATTTACATTCACATCAGCCTATTTTGGTCCCAGAATGCTCAACTTCGTTCATAATCAAGTAGGGGAAGAATTGCATAACCCAGGGTTGGCCATGCACGCTTCCGAGTCTTACAACAAAACCCCTCACCCCCGGCGTTGCAGTCTCCGGAGGCCGTGTGGCGTTAGTCCCGCGCTTAACATTAGACGGTGGTCAACGAGCGGATGAAAACGACAATGTTTCCAAAGAGAGTATCTTTGAACGCTTTAGGATGCCAATTGGAACGCTTGGAAGGCGTTCCGGGATCATGCTTCGCCTGCGCAATTTGCATATTTATAATATAAACGGAAAAGCATTCATAGCACCGCGAACTGCTGCAGGAATGTTATGGTAGCACGAGACAAGTAAAAGTAGGATCTCTATTTTCGTGGTACTGTCGCTGCATATCTCACCCTAAGATAATTAATATATAACAATATATAAATAACAAGAATGGCTCAAAATTATTCAAGAGGAATATACACCGCAGTGCAATAGCTGAACCGTACGATTTTATTTTAAAAGACTTTTGGCAGCATTATTTTACGATGGATGCTCACCGGCGCCAGGCGCCCACCGCCCAGCGCTACTTAACTGCACTGGTCAACGCCGCTCGGTCTCATGACAACTGTAACCCCGGCCACTGGCGTTCCCGCTCCTGAGATCGTGAGCACGCAGGCCCAGAGCTGTTTGATGCAATTTGTTTCAAATGATTATCCCGAACGAGGATGGACGCCTCGTTTGCGTTGGCCTTTTCATTTTTGACCATATTGTGATCCGCCCCGCCGAATATTAACGCAGCTCCCTTCCTTTTCCAGGCAAGGGACCCAGTGGGCAGACCAATAGGGGCACATTATATTTCCCGTTCAGGGGCTTCAGGGCCATTCGGTTACAGCGTGGAATACCCGCTTGCTGTCATGCCGGTGACACAAGGGCGGGATGCCCTGGCCGATACAGAAAACGTAAGATGGATGCATCATGCATTGGTTGCTTACCTTTCGGCGAAGCCCCCTGACCCGGCTATTTGCTCCCAGATAGACGCAGGGGCCCCCACTGATGCAAAATATTCCTTATACGTAGTCGCAGGTGTCCAGTAATTGGCAGACTACAGTTCGGCTTAACAGGCCCCTGGCTGAAATGGGACGGACAGCCCTCCGTTTGGTACCACGGCCGGCCTGACAGAGTGACTTCCATTATCGCGCCGTGGACTCGGTATTCCATTATCGCCGTCAAGTTTCATTTCCGCTTTCATTGTCGAAGGGCCTCGACCAACGCAAGAGGCCCCTGGCCTTCCTGGTCCCATCCCTGTCCCCGTCCACCAGATGTTGCCCTGGCCACTCGAAGCCCTTTGCAAACATTGGGCCCTCTTTTGGGCACTATGGGTCTCTGAACAACAAAGAAGCCCTCGTTGCTTCAAGGATCCCGACCGATACAAACTACGGGTTCCGACCTCGTCCCTGCTTGGGAAATGGGCCCCAGGGCTCAGACCAACACGCAAAACTGTTCGGTGTTTGCGGTATATGACCGAAATAGAGACCCGCACCGGGCCAGGGTGTCCCCAATCGCTGAAAAAGGTTCTCTAACTGACATCTGATGGCCCGGCCCTGCCTTCGTGCCCTGCAAGCGGGCATTTGATCATCGGTCCCGAGGCACTCTTCGGCTCCTCTGCGGGTCGTCCGAACACAGTCCCAAGCCGACTCTGAGTTCCTTGTCAATACCGGACCCTTGCTAGGCACTGTGGTCCCCTGACTGACACACGAGCCACTCATTGACTTAGGGCTCCTACCAATGAAAAGCGCGGATCTCGGCCCTGTCTTTGCTGGGAATGGGCCTTAAGTCCCAGACCTGACCCTGGAGTATAATTTGGTGACGTATGTTTCGCTTGTTACGGTCGTTAAGACTCTGCCATAGTAGTGAGCTTTGGAAAATAGGATTGGTGAGACCGAGCGGGGAAAAGTAGCGCTAAATACACTAAAAACCAGGATGCTTCCCGGATCACACCGAATTTCCTCTCAATGACGTCACGGAGTTGGACCACCCAAAACAGACTAAAAAAATACAGACCTGGTCTCATACCTTAGCTTGACCTGGCTCGGCGAAAGATGTCGTCGGGCATCATTACAATTTTGTTTGCGTCGATTGCGGAAACCAGGTTCGGTTATCGGCGCGGATTCGATATTACACGGTTCCAGACGTAGCTGGACATGTGCGGCTTCAGGAGCAAAGAGTGTGAGTTGATTTGCGCGACTCATAACGTTTGTCATGGGAAAGGCCCCCCCCCCCCCCATCGCTGGTTGCCGCAGGGCGGGTGCAGGTGCATCACTCCCATTAGGCATATTTGACACGGGTTGTGTTTGTGGTTATGGTCAAACAACTACCGCTCTCGGTATAGTGGGCCGGTGTCGATCGTCAGGCTTTTGCAACAGTTTCACCGAATATTCATGTGAAGTTTCAGGTGAAGTTTCATTGAACATCCATGAACATTCCAACGGTTCCTCCGAATACAGACGGCCAATAACTTAATCACGCTTTGTTTCCAGTTTTCCGACAAGACGTGGTAGCAAAAGAACGCAACTTGCTGCGGTCTGCGTAATTCAAACATCGCTGAAAAATGCCAAATCACTTCCACAATAGCACAAAACTAGACCATAGTCAGCAGCATACAGGAAAAACAAAAGAAAAAACTCCAGCAAAAACGGAACGAACGCAGAACATTAAAAGTGTGACTAGCCCAGTCAGGTGAGCTAAACCGGACTTAAGTCACACTTTTCATTTGCTTTACTTTTTTACCTGTACAACAATTTTAAGAAACTTTATTTTAATCTTATATAATATCGAGCTTCCATTTGCAATGTCCTACATGAGCTTGAGCTCATGAGGGTTGGAGGGAATTCACCGTGGGGGGGGGGGCAGATTGAACATGGGGGAGGGGCAGTGGCCCAACCAAAATACAAAATCGACACCCGTGCAGTGGAAGCAACGACGGGTGCAAGTTTTTGAAGGCTAAGTCTTTTCGCGTAGCACTAATGTGGCGTAAGACTAAGTATTCCCCTGCAAGTAATGTCACAGCAATTTCGTCGGTAGGAGTTTTCGCTGTAGCTCTAATGCCGTGGCGCCATCCGGCTGGCTTCGCGGTCCGCGGGATCATCTGCAGCACGTCCCCGTCCCCTGGAGCGGCGGCGTTCCTCTGGCTGTCACTCGGGCACGAGACAAGCGCACACGTAACTCAGCCATGGTCGCCCCACGCTGTGAGCCCACGAAAACCGGCGGGCAGACAGATAGTGCTGGGGTAATCAGTTGGCTGCCGGTGGCGGAGCCGGCCAGCGCGACGGCAAATGTTAATACATGGTCAGTGTACTCACATGTTCATCTCGGCCTCCAGGAGGCCCTGTCCCGCCTCCATGGCGCGCAGACGGCTGTAACAAGAGGACAGAGAGTCACCGCCACCGGTCAGAGGTCACCAGATCGGTCACGGATCACCAAGCGGGCGACAGTCCACCCAACCCCAGCACTGTCCGGTCAGCTGTCCGACACTCAGGGGTTACATGTCACCGACACATCCGTCCTGCTTGATGGGCCGCCCCAGGACTGCGTCGTCGTTCAAGGGCCATGACAGCAGTGAAACTTTAACGCTCGATAGACGGGGGACGGTTTTAGCGTTGCTGCGAGCCAGAACACGTAACTCAGGCTACTGTGCGCAGCGCCTGGCGCACTTCATGTCTTCAGCTGGCGCGGCGGAAGGCAGCAGACAGCGCGTACTGAGAGGCTGACGAAGCGGAATAATGCCCGCGTCAGTGGGGCTGTGCGATGCACTCAGCTGCTGACGCTTTATGACGTCACCTGCCTCTCAGCGCGGCAGGCAGGGCGGACACAGCGGAGACCAAACACCGCACCGCTGGGTTTCCAGACGCGCAATTTATCCCCCAGACTACCGGAACTCCAACGGGACAGCGTCAGAAACACATGCATGATTTGTAGATGTGGGAGCGGACTCATAACTTTTGAAAGGACATACAGCCCTTTTGACGCCACAGAATGCCGCGACGGTCATTAAGATATCCTTTTTTAAGGTTTAAGAGGGATACTGCTTGCGAGTTTCAGCCGAATCTTTTTGTGAAAGTTGTTCAGTGCATTAGCGAAGAGCATTATTCACATAGATAACGCAGCAATATTTGCCTTATTGCTCGGATAAAAACCAGGACAATGGAGATACAGTTGGGTAATCGGAATCAAGTCTTTTTTATCATATCACGCACAATATTTCCTTTCAATGCACTCGGTGCCCAGGTCCGTTGCTGTTCACCAACACACATTTATAACATACCCAACCACCTAACCCACCAACCATCCACCAACGACCCCCCCCCCCCCGCACTAAGAGGCTGGGCTCCCAACCCGTGCTCAAAACAGCGGCCTGTCCTGATGGAGCAGATAGCCAGGGAGACGCGAGAAAACAGAGAACATCTCGTATACGTCACGATTCAACGTTTCTGGATTGCACGTGAAGATCACTGCAACAGTCAATATTGATACGAAAATGCATTATATCACACTAACGTATACCCCTAAATATAGCGTGAATTTATCACATATTGGTTGAAAAAAACTACTTTTAATTCATTTCAAATGTTACCTTCATTAAATTTGCATTGGAAGCTATTAAAACTGGAGGTTGTATAGAAGGTATTATAGTGACGTCAAACACTATCCCAAACACTCGCACGGGCACGCGAAAATCCACGGCTCCGCGAGTCTCCGGCTCTTGGGGAGGATCTAGCATTGGAGGGAAGGCATATTCTCCGTCGAGAAACCCGAACTGAACACCGATGGAAACGCACAAAAGGCGGATCAAATCAAAGCATGGATTTCTTTCTAACGATCTACAGAGCGTCACCACGAAATTATGATCTGAATGTAAAGCTAACGCAGAGTTTCTTGTTGTCCGATGAGCAGAAATTTTGGTTTTGTATTTTTGTATCTGTATATGTATTCACCTTTTTCTGGTCTAACTTTGATTTGAGTAAGGTTTTGCCAATGAATAATTTTTACAAAATCATTGAGGTCCTAAAAAACAACATAAAAACCGATAAATAACTTAGCGCGGTCCTGTCATTGAAGACTGCTATTCCGTGCGGGCTATTTTTTTTGGGGGGGGGGGGGGAAGAGCTGCGTGCGGGAGCCGTGTTGGGCGATGACGGCGGATTGGTTGATAGTAAAGATGAGAACGATACATAAATTCAGCTCAGTGTCACAAACTGAGAAGAGAATTGTATCAGACTAAACTTCGGTGAGTAAATGTGGCGTTGCCAACTATGTACAGCTGGCTTGCTCTATGAAGAGGAAATAATTTCGCCACTCCTGCTACGTTGACCCCCCAGCTCCGCTCATGCAGCAGCCCCACGTCTCAGGCGGCGTAGTTTTGTACATAACTTTGTGGAGAGTGGGCAGACAAATTTTTACGCTCAAATCAATAGTGCAACTCATTTTCTCCCTGATTTTGACCGAATTTCTTCTCAAAGTAGATGGAAAAGTTGGCATCCCATTCAACTGAATAGAAAACTACACCCCTGGTACCAAATTAAGCATACCTAGGTCAGTAAAAGCCTATGTGGGTATCACATTACTCCAGCATCTGTTCCCTAGGCAAAAACAATGGTACCTTGGCTGGAAGGTAGCGGCACTAATTGCTATATCCCAGATGTTCCTACTTATATCATTCTGGCATACATGATAGTTCAATAATAAATTTGTCACAATGTGCTCTGGCGAATTATTCAACAGGTGCAAGATATTTTAAGCATTGATCCTTATCATCCTTAATTGAAAGAAACACCTTTACAATCTAATTGTCAATATCAACAATTGTCTGTCTGTCTGTCTCTATCTAGCTATCTATAGCTATCTATCTATCTATCTATCTATCTATCTATCTATCTATCTATCTATCTATCTATCTATCTATCTATCTATCTATCTATCTATCTATCTATCTATCTATCTATCTATCTATCTATCTATCTATCTATCTATCTATCTATCTATCTATGAGCTCTATAGCTTCAAAAAGTACAGTAGGTGTGAGCATAAGCTCAGGAAGAAAGCACTTACCTAGAAAGCTAGAAAATTAAAGAATTGCAAGCAGCTAGAGCCAAACCCAAACTTCAGACACTGATCGGAACCCCAACGGGACGTCAGAAACGCGTGTTTGATTTAGATTAAGGAAGCAGACTCATAAATTTTAAACCCATTTGACCCACTGAATGCCGCGGTGGTCCGTAAGGTCTCCCTTAAACTTGGACATGACTGAAGGTGGTAGTTAAAGTGGTATTTACACAGTTCTGATTTGTGGCCATTCCATGCTGCGATAACCCATCGGCTACCCTCCAAAGTACATAGAGAGTCCGCTTCAGGATTAACCCGCTACATCCCGCCACGTGCTGGTCTGACAGGCGGGCGGCAGCCCCACACCCGTGTGTGCCCAGTCATTACCTACATGTGACGAGCGCATCAAACGCACCCAAGGCACTCTAACGGGGCGCGAGGTAAAGGTCGCGACGCCACCCCTGGTGCTGGCCCCCGCCGTGACACGGCGTCGTGGTCCCAAATGTCGCGGCGCAACGACACCCGTGCCGGCGCGGTCGCCGCCAGCGGTGGCCAGGGCCGTCCCTCCCTTCCTCAACGGCAGTGGCCTTTGCCACCGCGCTTAAAAGCTGGCGACCAGCCGGTCAGCAGCAGAGCCGGTGCGCAGCCGCTGGCGGCAGCATGTGGTCCCTGTGGCTGGTGGCAGCGCTGGCGCTTGCGCCGTGGCCGGCCGGGCCGCCGGCGCTGGTGTGCAGCGCCCCGGAGGCGCGGCCGCAGCCGGAGCCCGAAGCCTGGCCCGGCCCCATAGCCTCGCCCGGTCCTCAGCCTGACCCCAAACTCGGGTGCGTGTCGCCGGCAGCGTCACCGGCACTGCCGTGCTGTCTGCGTGTGTGTGTTTGAGAGGAGGGGGGGGGGGAGGGGGTATTCGGGCTACATACGGGCATGTACGCAAAATTTGTATAATTACCATCAAATAATTTAGACTGATCATGCTGTATTAAAACGTGCTAGTCACCATCTAATAATTCTGTACTGATGAGAAACCAATGCGGGTGAATGTGACACTCGGTCAACCTGAAAGTGCCGCATGAATCTGTCGGCATGTGTCTCCTTTTGGGAACAGCGTACACGGCTACCAAAAAAAAAATATGCGAGGGGTCCGAGTCTCGTGCATATTATCCCACGATATCAAAAGGCGTAAACACGTACTTCTTTTCAGCCCCGCTCTCCAACTAATCTGGAATTTGTGCAAAGTTCACAAGAAGTGCAGCAGGTGGGTGGAGTACCAAAAATGCAGAGCGTTGGAAAAGGCGGGCAACTTCTTCCGGAGACTGTTCAGAAGAAGGCGCCGGAGGCGTCGCAGGTGTGTCAAATGAACACTTATCGACACTGATGTGTGACACTGCATCACGGACCCAATGGGTTTTCAAACAGACTCCTACTTGCGACGTATCTGACACTCCAGTTTGAACACCTGGACCAAAGTATGCATTGAGAAGCTGGCCTGCGTTGGAATCTGCCAAACGAGTGAACAATTCGGCACGATGAAATATATTATCCCTGACAAGAGCCCGGTGTTTGCAAAATCAACGGCACTTGAATACAAAAAACGACCATCACGAGCCTTCACACATCGCTAGAAGCTATATATGTAACACACTGAGTTGTTTTTTATTTGGGTCTTTAGGCGCGCCGACAACTAGGGCCATTTGGTGCCCATAGCAGTTAAGTGATTACCTTGGTTTGTCAGTGGCTAAAAATCCTAAATTGGTCAAAAATGAAAATGATAGTTCCGCCCTTAATCCTGTTCTATGGAAACACATGGGGCAAAAACGCAAAATGCAATGCCAATAACAACAATAAAATACGAAGCAAGGCGTAGGAGGAGCCAGACGTTAAAATAGCGCCTGGTTGGCCGGTTGAACATCGTTCGCATGGATGGAGGGTCAATTTGGCCCCTCCGCCCTGAGATATAAAAAGATAAGATAGCCAGAGACTTTTTCAATTCAAATTTTCACACACTTCTTAAAATCACAATTTCACAGGGTAGATTGGCTTGTACGTAAAATCACTTGTGTCAAAAGTTGAGCCTCCTGGGCCATGGCCTTGGATTTTAAAAAATCAAACAAGGTCAAATTCCAATTTTCTCTGACGTCTCCCGACTTTCTCATGCAACCGTCGGGGAGCTAGATACTCATTCTGGACACAAGCTCAATGAAGTCAGCAGCTTTGTTTCACCTTTATCAGATCAAGGTCACCAAATCAATACCAGACTGCTCCTATTTTAGTATTAAAAATAGTCTGGGATTACGCTGGGTGGTACGCTTCTCAAAAC